TGTCCCAGTGGGGGAGGTCTCTAATATTTCCACTTTAGTTGTTGTTCTTGGATGTGGAGTGGGTGCCTTTCCACTCCCTTATTTGGGCTTACCTTTGGGAATCTCCTCCAGGATAGTGGGGACTTGGGATCCGGTGATTAACAGGTATGAAAAAAGATTGGCGGGGTGGAAAAAACAGTATCTTTCGAAAGTGGGGAAGGTCACTCTTATTAAGAGCACCCTCTCGTCCCTTCCCACATATTTCTTATCTCTATTTCAGATCCCGTGTTCTGTTGCTGAACGAATTGAAAAAATTCAGAGAGACTTTCTTTGGGGTGGAAAAGGAGAGGAGTTTAAGTATCATCTTGTTAATTGGGAGCAGGTTTGCAAACTGTTGAAGTTTGGCGGTTTAGGTATCCAAGAGTTAGTCCTTTTCAACAGAGCCTTATTGGGGAAGTGGTTATGGAGATTCGGTAAAGAACGTCATCGACAATGGAGAAGAGTTATCTCGTGTCGTTTTGGGGAAGAGAGTGGAGGTTTGTCCTCTCGTCCTGTTTCTATTACCGGGGGCGTTGGCGTTTGGAAGTTCATTCGGAAAGGTTGGGATGTGTTTTCCACCCATATTCGGTTCAAGGTTCGTAATGGTATGTATGTTAGATTTTGGGAAGACTTATGGTGTGGTGATCAGTTGTTGTCTCTTTCTTTTCCTCGTCTCTTTAGCATTGCCGAAAATAAGCATGCTTTTGTAATTGACTGTTATCATCTTGATAACAGTGGAGTTACGTGGGATGTGCGTTTTAGGCGTTCCTTTCAGGATTGGGAGATAGCTGAAGTTTGCGTCACTTTGAACCTGTTGTATAGACAGAAGGATGTTGGCAGAGGTTGTGATGATATTTTGTGGACTCCCTCTTTTCATGGTAGATTCGAAGTTCGATCCATGTTCTTGTGTTTGTCTAATTTTATTGTATATGATTTCCCTTGGAAGTGTATTTGGCGCTCTAAAGCTCCTCTTAGAGTTGCCTTCTTTGTTTGGACTGCTACTTGGGGAAAAATTCTAACATTGGATAACCTGCGTAAGAGAGGTAATACCATTGTTAATTGGTGCTGTCTTTGTAAAAATGATGGTGAGTCCGTGGACCATCTTCTTATGCATTGTCCTGTTGCATCTGATTGCTGGAATCTCATATTCAGTATTTTTGGCGTTCAGTGGGTAATGCCTAAGCACTCTCTCCAATTAATTAATGCTTGGAGAAGATGCCCTGTTTCTGGTCATGCTTGTGATTTTTGGAGGGTCGCCCCATATTGTGTTTGGTGGTGTATTTGGAGAGAGAGAAATAACAGAAACTTTGAAGGGAAGGAATTGTCTTTTGCAAACCTTAAGTCTTTTATCCTACGCTCTCTTTTTTGTTATGTCAGAGGCAGCGCTTGCTCCTCGATCGATGACTTTTTTGTTCTATTGGACTCTGTTGGTTCATAGGTTTGGCTTTTGCTCTTTCGTTTTTGTGTATTAGGGACGCGTTTCCCTTTTGAACGTCTTTCTAATATATTTTTACTTATCAAAAAAAAAATTCAAGAATTAGATTATTTCAGGTCTTGGCTCCTGATTTGTGTTCAAGTAGGTTTCGGAAATTTACTAAATTTCTAAAGAGAGGTCTGAAAATCAGATTCTTTGTTAGTAACTACAGATTGGTGTGTTTTGTTCGTTTACGAAAAAGAAGAAAGAAAGGATGAAAGGATGGAAGGCTTTACACGGGCTTGTCATTGATCGTGGTGTATTATTTCAAACTCGAGGTAGAGTTTTCGTCAAGGAGGAGGGTGTGATGAAAATCTTTAAGGGTACTTTAGTCAGGATTGAGGCAGTCACTGGTGCCTTGGATATACCTTGAAGAAATGGAATTACCAAGTATACTTAGGAAAGTGGTAAAATCTTATTAATGTTGTGTGGGAATTCTAAGAGTGATAGTCCAAAAGTCAGTCTAGAGAATTGAAGAGTCATTAATAGTCTTATTATAAAGGGGACAACCCTTTATATCTGTTGTAATAAAGTCTTATCAATATAATTTGAGTTATTTCAGAGTATAAACTTCTCTTAAGGGTTTTCCCAGATTTCCCTTTAGAAATCTAGGCTCTGACGGTGACAGGAGTATCTTTGGTGTTGCTTACTGTTGTAAGAGGACTTGTGTTCATTTATGTTTGCTTCAAGTGGTATCAGAGCCTTCCAGTAAAATCTGTGATTATTGCGGATCTATGGCTAGGCAAGGAAGCAAGATAGCCACAAAAGAAGACTTTCAAAATCTGCAAAATCAAATTTCTCGATTGAGCACTTTATTAGAACAATCTGGAATTATTTCTCCATTAAATATGGACAATAGGAGAGATGCATATCAATGTGAATATCTGGCAGAACAACCTAGGGGGAGAATTCAGCAGCATAAGCAGTTCAAAAGTGCAAATTGGACTGAACAACCTACTAGAGAAAGACAACAGCATCATAGGCAGTTAGAAAATGCAAGACAGGGTGCTACCACATTAGTTAAACAGTGCAGAACACTTGGACTGCAAAGAACAATACAGAGGAGTCTGAATTTTGGTACTACAAACACGAGGAGCTGAGATGCAAATCTACCAAGTGTCCAGTAAATTTATATTAGCACATGATCAATGCAAAACAATTCTCGCTTGAGGAAGACGCTGGAAATCATGTTGATTTTGAGGATGCCAAATCAGCTTGGGATGAATTCACTGGATGGGAAAATGAAGAATGCGATAGGCTGGAGGAAACTTCAACTTTCTCGCTTCCAGATTTTAATAAAAATGAAGAGGAATATGAAGAAAAAAATGAGGCAGAAGAGGAGAAATTTGAAGAAACAGCCAATAACATCTCAGAAGCTAAAGCATCTGTCATCATACAATCTGCATATCATGGATTTGTCAACAAATTTCCTGTTGATATCTTGCCGATCACAAATCCTGGTTCTGCTGATTATTCTTTTGATTATGTGCCCAAGGCTTTCCACGGATTCTTCTTTGATCGTGGTAAATTGTTTCAAACTCGAGGGCGAGTTTTCTTCGAGGAGGCGGCTCTGATGCAAATCATTAAGGGTACTTTAGTTAGGATTAAGGCAATCAATGGTGCCTTGGAAATGTCTAGTCAAAGTCTATTTGGTAGTAATTATGGTATAGGAAATCTAAAACTGTTCTGGGAATAGCAGAAGTTGTCATTAAAGCTTTGTGGGTATTTTGAAAGTCATACTAGGGAAAGCAAGTGTCATTAATATCATATTGGTCTTATAAAAAGGATAGACATCTTTATCTGTGATCGGCGAGATGTCAATAACTCTACGATCAAAGAAGAACCCGTGAAACAATTTACTAGATTTGCAATTAGAATCTTGGGCACATAATAAGAAGAATAATTAGCAGAACCAAGATTTGCGATCGGCAAGATGTCAACAGGAAATTTGTTGACAATTCCATGATATGCAGATTGTATGATGATGGCTACTTTAGCTTCTAATATGTCATTGGCTGCTTCTTCAAACTTCTCTTCTGCCTCATTTTTTTCTTCATATTCCTCTTCATTTTTATCAAAATCTAGAAGCAAGAAAGTTGAAGTTTCCTCCAGCCTTTCACATTCTTCATTTTCCCATCCAGTGAATTCATCCCAAGCTGATTTGGCATCCTCAAAATCAACATGATTTCCAGTGTCTTCCTCAGGCGAGAATTGTTTTGCATTGATCTTGTGATTATATAAAATTATTGGACACTTGGTAGATTTGCATCTCAGCTCCTTGTGTTAGTAATACCAAAATTTAGACTCCTCAGTATTGTTCTTTGCAGTCTAAGTATTCTGCGGTTGTTTAACTGATGTGGCAGCACCCTGTCTTGCACTTTTGAACTGCCTATGATGTTGTTGTCTTTCTCTAGTAGGCTGTTCAGTCCAATTTGCACTTTTGAACTGCTTATGCTACTGAATTCTTTCCCTAGGTTGTTCTGCCCAATATTCACATTGATATGCATCTCTCCTATTGTCCAATATTTAATGGAGAAATAATTCCAGATTGTTCTAGTAAATTGCTCAATCGAGAAATTTGATTTTTCAGATTTTGAAAGTCTTCTTTTGTGGCTATCTTGCTTCCTTGGCTAGCCATAGATCCGCAATAATCACAGATCTTAATGGAAGCCTCTGATACCACTTGAAGCAAGCATAAATGAACACAAGTCTTCTTACAACAGTAAGCAATACCAAAGATACTCCAATCACCGTTGGAGGCTAGATTTCTAAAGGGAAATCTAAGAAAAGCCTTAAGAGAAGTTTATACTTTGAAATAACTCAAATTATATTGATAAGACTTGATTACAGCAGATATAGAGGGCTGTCCCTTTTATAATAAGACTATTAATGACTATTCAATTTTCTAGACTGACTTTTGGACTATCTAGAATGACTCTTAGAATTCCCACACTACATTAATAAGATTTTACCACTTTCCTAAGTATACTTGTAATTCCAAAGCTTAGTAGAACAAGGATTCTTTGACTTTTCTTCAAGGTACTTTCCAATGCACCATTGATTGCCTCAATCTGACTAAAGTACCCTTTATGATTTTCATCACCTTCCTCCACTTGTTTCCTTTTTCAGGTGTTCCCAATGTCTTAGGAAACTTTTAGCTGGGTCCACAACTATATCAGTGGGGAAAAAAATCTCGATAATATCTGTAATTAATCAATATACATGAAAAGTGCCTTCACAATGTATCAATCATCCATATATATATGTGTGTGTGTGTGTGTGTGTACAGAGGCAAAACAATAGACTCTAATAGGAAACACAATTAAATAAATAATGAAAGTAAACTAAAGTATAAAAATAAAATATAATAAGTCCTAAATCATCCTCTCGTCTACGCCTATGGTAAGTGCATAGACCACTCGGCTCAGGATCTTCATCTATTAGTCATACTTTTCTTAGTAACTCTTTATGATGTTGTGATCTAATGTCCTTTTATATGCAATTTCAGGTACTCTGTTCTTGATTTGATTCTCCGGACAATTGAAGCACTTTCTGTCATTAATGATTATTCTCAAGAAATCTCTTCAAATAAGGAACTTTTTCACCTATTAAAAGACTTGGTCAAACTACCTGATAAAATTGAGGTATGTTAAAGCTTGCTAGAAACTGTGTTAGAGAAACATGTTTGTTGATGTTTTCAAGCTTTTATCTAGATGTGAAATATATCTGTCTGTATCTGTATGTATTTGTTAAGTGTTTTATCCATTTTTATGAATCCATGTAGGTACTGTTTCTGACCAGTATTTGTGGTTACTAGATTGTTAATTTTGCTGAATATGCAAATGATTAACAATTCAATAAATTGAATGCGACATTATTTGCTTTTCTTAATATAAGAAAAATATATTTTTTCAGTTTTAAATTAAATAAATAGTCACTATACGGAGGTTAAAAATCTTGACAATTCAAAAAACTGAATCAAATGTTTATGCTGATCTTAGAAATATCATTATCATCTTATAATTATGAATATTTCATTCAACAAAAAATTTATCTTTTCTCGAACTTTAGTTCAAGCCTCACTGTGATGGGTTATTTCGTCTATTTGTAGAATTTTTGGTGCTAGAACCTTTCAACCTATTTTTTTTTTTCTTTTTTTCTTTTTAGCAAATGATAATAATTGAATGTTTGACTTTGCCCCTTCCTTTTAGATGTGAACACAAAGCCGAAAAAGAATAAATTCTGATATTCTCTTTTTCAAATATCATATGTTAGTTTACAGGCCTATATATATAGAAGTGTATTACAAATTCTATCTAAGGAAAAGATATATACAGATCATAATTTAAAAAAAAAGTCAACTATCTAACTATGGATAATTCCTAAAAATCCTCCCTAACTAATTTCCTAACAATTCCGCCTAGATCTTTCCACAGTCATGTCTATACTGCATCTTTATGATGCAACAGCTTTGTAGCTATTTTACAATTTGTGTTGCTAGTCCTAGCTCTCCTGATTTGTGCAAGTAATGCTAAGGTCTATGCCCAGTTTACAAGAAAGAATTCCCTGCACGGATGACACCATGTCATCGGTGTTGCCAACTAATTATATCATGTCACATAGTAAAAGTGCATTTACTTCACTGGGTCCTATCACTACGTGTCAGCATTTAATCACTTGGTGATGCAATCAATTGTCTTGAAAATGTCTAGATATAATTAATGCAGTCAAAGTAGTAATTATGGTGTGGGAATCTGAATTGTCATGGGAGTAGAAGTTGTCATTAATGTTCTGTGGGAAGCTTGAAAGTTGGTCTAGAGAAATTGTCATTAATAGTTGTCTTATAAAGGGACCCCCCTCTTATCTTCCAGATTTCCCTTTAGAAATCTAGGCTCCAACTGAGATTGGAGTATTTCTAGTCTTCCTTGCTACTGTAAGAAGACTTGCGTTCTTTCTGTTTGCTTCAGTTGGTGATACCATGTCATCAATTTATTTGGTGCATTAAAGTATTTTTCCCAGTTCACCCTTGTAGAACCTTTGCCCCCCAGAACTCACACTGCATATTGGCCTTTTTTATTATTTAGCCGTCCTGATTTTTAGCCTTAATATATTTGATTTAAAAAGCCTAGTTGTCATGAACAGAACTTGTAGCAGAGATTGGCTTCTACTGTAATTTTTTCATTTATGTAGCAATAAACAGTTCAATGTATACTGCAATAGGCATTACTTGTGTGCTACAACTTTCTGATCCAAGAGAGGGGGCTTACGGCCAGACATTGGTATAAATGCTGTTCTATACAGATTTGGTATCCGTTTGGTGTTGCTGTTGTAATGGTAAAAATGCTTTTATCAGTAGAGCTGTCATAAAAGTGTTGTCACTAGAAAGCATGTTAGGTGTTTGGTGATGCATTATATAAAGCACTTTTTTATACTTAAAGCACTTTTAAATTTGTTTGTAATAGTATTGCTTAAAACACTTTATTACTAATTTGGGTAAATTACACTTACCTCCCCTGAGGTTTGGGCAAATCTCACACAAGTGGAGCGTTTCAGATTTATTAGTTTGACCTCCCTTGAGGTTTGGGTGTATGCTCAATTGCCCCCTTTCTCCATCAAAACTTGTAAAATTTTTTCATAAAATGACCAAGTTGCCTTTACACTCATTTTATTTATTTTTTTACAATATTTTTTTAGGAGGGCTAACGGTGGTGGATAGGAGAGTGAAAGTAATAAGAGAGATGAGATAGAAAATTGATTTTTTATAATTGACTTTTTATAATCTTAAGGGAAGTCAAAGTAATAAACCTTAAACGCTCCACCCATGTAAGATTTGCTCAAACCTCAGGGGAGGTAAGTGTAATTTACCCTACTAATTTTACAGTATTACCTATACAGTAATAAACGTGTGCATTATTACCCAAACGTAATTTCATTCCCTTAATTAATAGCTCGAAAAATGCTCTTTATTAAACGGTTAAAGATGCACTTTTATAGAGGATTCCTAATTAAAAAAGTAATTTGAGATACTATTGTTTGTCTTTGAAAAGTAGAAAATATTTAGAATCTAGAATATTATAAGCTAAATATATAAAATGTGAAATTGGGCGGTAAATGTAGAAAATGTGAAATTAGACTATAAATATAAAGGGGATTGGATGTGAAACCAGGCTAGCAATAGTCCTAATAGTATTGCAATACTCAATTCCAAATGTTCAAAACATATATGATAGCCACGATTTATGGAATGACTTACCATATTAGCAGAGATTTGATAATGCATGTATTAGAGTAGAAAAGCATAAAACAAAAGCGAAGAGATAAATAAAACAATTAGAACATACAGATATTACGTGGTTCAGCCACTAGGGCCTACATACACGACACAAAGAGCCCAAAGGGCTACATCACTTTTATAATACTCTCTCAATTCATAGCTCTAGTATTTATAGATAAAATAAGATAAGAGCACATGCTCATATTACAAGAAAAGAAGCTAAATCAAATCTAAATCAAATCTTTGCTAATATGGTAAGTCATTCCATAAATCATGGCTATCATAGATGCTAATTGTTAGCATCTATGGTAGCCACGATTTATGGAATGCTAACATATGCATAATCAAATATCTGTTAATATGGTAAGTCATTCCATAAATCGTGGCTATCATAGATGCTAACAATTAGCATCTATGATAGCCACGATTTATGGAATGACTTACCATATTAATAGATATTTGATTATGATGTAGAATATACCATAGAATATGCTTTATAATATGCTGTAATTTGATTTAGATTTGATTTTGTTTCCTTTCTTGTAATATGAGCATATGTTCTTTTTATGTATAAATACTAGAGCTGTGAATGAGTGATTCATCTCATTGAAGCCTTTACACAATTCCCTCCTTTTTCTTTTATACTGTATTTCTACTTGGTATCAGAGCCATCACCTTTTCACACCTTTTAGCAGCCTTGCTACTCGTGCGACAGCCACCTTAGGCTGTTTGTGACATCGTGTGATGTTGCCTACACATGTTTTTTTGTGCTGCTGTTTTGTGATAGAAAACAGGTATTTTTAAGTTTTACAATTTCTTTTTTACTCTTCTAGGGTTAGGTAAGTTGGATAGTTGGTCTCCAACACTTATAAAGGCTTGGGTAAATTTTTTTTTTAGTCTACAGAGAGGTTCCGAATATTAAGAAGGAGGTTGTCTAGCTATATGTAAGCAGACAACGCTCCTTAAAAGTATGTATTTGGATTTTTCGGGAATGGTCTGAGGAGACATTGTTATTGTTTATGGTCTGAGGAGACCATTTGATTTATTAACAGAATTTTTGGTGTTTTTGGAGTTTTTTTTATTGTCGTGTGATAGATTATGGCAGATTCAGGGTCCTTAACTGTTAATTCTCTAGGCTCAAGTTCTGTGGATGGTGGTGCCATTTTTCCCACCAATTCATCAGAAAATCCAGGACTTCAAATCACCGCAGTGAAGTTGGATGGCTCCAACTATTTGATTTGGACACATTCTCCCAAGATGTTCAATGGTGGCAAAGGCAAGATTGGCTATATTATTGGTTCTAAGAAAGAGCCAGCTAAGTCAGAGAAGGCATATCCACAGTGGTTTGCAGATAACGCTTTGGTTATGTCTTAGCTAGTCAATTCGGTGTAACCAAACATAGCCGTTGGCTATATGTTTATGAAGACTGCTAAGGAGATTTGGGATTCAGTTCAACGCACTTATTCTCAGAGACTGAATAATGCATGGATTTTCCAGCTAGGGTGATGTATCACCAGGATTTCTCAGGGTGACTTAACAGTTTCAGGTTATATTGCTAAGCTTCGTGCTATTTGAAAGGAGATGTCATATTATGATTCCTTCCACTCATGGAAGGACCCAGATGATGTAGTTTTATATGCAGGGAATGTGGAGAAGAATCGAGTGTTTTAGTTTCTTGCCAGGTTGAACGACGAGTTTGAGTATTCTTGTGTTCATTTATTGGGCTTACCTTCATTCCCTACTCTTGAGGATGCATGCTCCTATGTGTTGTCAGATGACAGTCATTGGACTCATCCATTAGGTGTTACTTTTGTTGATCGTTCTGCTATGGCAATTCGGTTCCCAACCTTTTAGGAACTGCACCATCCCAGTCAGTTCAGAGCTCTACCACCGATTCTCCTCTGGGACGACAACATGGACAGTGTGACCATTGTTGAAAAATTAGTCACATCAAATCTCGTTGTTATGCTCTACATGGATGCCCACCGCAATAGAAACAACAGCCTTGATCCTCTGCACATTCTGTTACATAACCAGTCTCGTTGTCAACTCCTGACAACTCTGCCTCTACATCTTCTGCCAAAGTTATCTTAACTCAAGCTGATTTAGACAATTTCAAACAATTCTTCAACCAAATGGAGGCATTATCTCAGCCGACCTCCACTTATGCCCACTCAGGTACCATTGTGTCTGCACATAGCGTATCTATATCTTTGACACCATGGATCATTGATTTTAGTGCTTCAAACAATATGACTAGTATGTCTTCATTCTTCCAATCTTATAGTATTTGCTCTGGCCATTGCAAGGTACGCCTTGCGGATGGCTCTCCATCTTCCATTGCTGGGAAGGGTCATATATCAGTTATTC